ACTTATAATGGTAAAATGATAATTTGATGGAATTGATTTTCAAATCAACAACTAATATTTCAGTTATGAGTCACGTATCGAGACTATTTTAGCTATTTATCTTAAGTATTATAAATTCAAAAGTGATTCAGCAATAATAGAAAATTGAAGTAAGTTTATTTTAAATACGCAGTAACTGATCTCATACACAGGGCGGATAGGACATCATTCTTGCTCTACTTAATAATTGAATATGTATAATATATAACAATATATCAGTCGTCCAAAATTACATATTTAATACCAGTGGTCATCAGTATAACTGTTTCTATAACAATCAAGGTCTGGAAAATTTAAATAATATATGAATCAAAATAAACGTAGGTGCATACCATCTTTGCCTAGGTACGATACACATATATCAGAAAGTTAGAGATTGATGTAAAATGCCTTAAATAAATAAATTCCAGAAAATATATATTTAAATAAACAGAAATGAATCCATGTTTAAAAAATCTATATGTATGCATATATTTTATTTATTTTTCTTGGCTATTAACTATTATTCAGCTTTCTAAATTTCTTAAATATTTATTACAGAAAAGTTTAAAGTTTAAATAAACGGAACTGAAGCGAGGTATGATTAATATACATAGATACATATTATTATTTATTTTTGCTAATAATTATTATCACATTTGTCATCTTTTAAAATTCCCTAAATATTTGTTAAAAATTAAACTAAATTGAATCGAGTTGTGTTTAATATATGTACACACATATACCAATATAATATTAATTTTCATCGCTAATTATTGTTATTAAAAAATGCTTATTCAAGAACCTAGAGGAAATCCTCAATAATATTCAAATCCGAGTTTCACTTAACTCTTTTATATTTCTTAATTTATAGCATAAACCAAAATTCTGCCAAACAACTTTGTGCTTCTCAGAGTTGGCCAGCGAAATCAACCTTAATTAAATTTGTCATATCTGAGGTTTTTAATCAAACGAGTGCTTCATGTTGTATGCTAAATTCGCTTTGGCGTCAGCTTTAGCTGAAGGGGGCGGGGTCTGTGGAGGGGCGCTGCGCTAATGTCAGCGACGACATGACAACAAAATGTGACCAGAGCGCAAAAAACGAAATCTATGTTAGAACACAGGCGATTAGAATCGTTTTAGCCCCCGTGGAACACACCTAATTGCTGGACAAGCATCAGACAGCTAATTGAAAAGCCGCTCGGTCTCATGTTTCTAGCCTTTTTTTTATAGCCTTTTTTGTGTGGTTGTGTGTGTGTTTTTGCTATCGCACTTCAAGGCCCACTCTTGACTAATTTTCTGCGCTCGGTTTTTATTTTATTTTTTATTGAGTTTTTACTCTGCACAATTATTTCAATTTTATATTATTTATTTGCTTTGGGGTGTGGCCAAAAAGTGGGCGACACGTTTTGCTCGCCCAGCTGGTTTTGCCAGTGGCTGTGGCTCTGGCTGCAGCTGGAGTTGGAATTGGAGTTGCAGACTAGAATTGTGGGCGGTTGCACACGCCTCGTTTTATGGCAATCAAATGCGTCGTTTAATTCGAATTGACATTTTGAACTTGACGTGAACGTGGCGCAAGTGGAGCCGCCATAGCCAGTGGGGCACGTGCCCCTTGCTCTGGCGACAAACACTGCGAATTGAATGACTTAATGCTCAGGTTTTTGATTCAATTGTCCAATGGCTCACTGGTCTTTTATGTCTAGATTTTTATGTTCAGATTTAAAAACAAAGGAAAGAAAACTAAAAATATTTATTTATTTCTGCACAAACGTTCTTCACCCAAATAACATTTTATTAAAAATATCATAGAGCAATTTGAGATGAAACCCAGAGTTTAGCAACCCAGAGTTGAGCAACCTATGAGCCAGCTCATTGAGCTAATAGCCTTATAGCTCTTCAAGCTTAATAATAATTTTAATAATCTTTAGCCTATAAACGGATGAACAAAGCTTATGAAAATATTGTATGACCAATCGTACTATAGAATAGCCATAGCAGCTGCCATGGAAAAGTATAATCTGATTCTAAATACCCCATAAAAATGTAGATTTATATTAATATTTCTATAACTGTAGATAATCTATAAAATTCAAGGACAGATTCTTTACCTTGCAACAATAAACAAGAAATAAATAATAATATTTCTGTAACTGTAGATATTGTACTTTAACCAATCAGAATTTTACCCCATATTTCAATTATATATATATTGAATGAATTTCAATATTTAGTTTTATTTTCATTCAATTATTTGATTTTGGATTCATAAAACACAAAATGATTTCGTATCGAAATAAAATGTGTGGCTGCGTTTATTTACATAACTATATTGAATGCATTCGTCTATTTGCAATTGTTTTGAGGCACTTTGAGCGCATCTCAAATAGAACGAAAATGTTATAAATTGTTGAAAGTTTGCAATTGATCGCTGTATCATAAACTAACGCCGGCTCGCTTTTAAAACTATTGCACAATATTCACAAAAAGAAACAAAAGGCCGGCGCATAAGCTGTTCTCCTCCTCTTGCCCCTCTTTCGCCACCTTCTTCCTACTATTTCTGCCCTCTAAACAAACGCCCTGCGGATGCGGACATGCAAACAAATGCGATTCGGAGGCGGTTCGGACACAAGGCAGGCAAGCAAAACAAGTTGCATTGATGAGAGATTTGGGGCGGGGGTGGTGGGCGGTGGGCGGTGGTCGGTGGCAGCGACTTGTGAAGTGCAGTTTTGGCTGGAAAGTGGAGAGTGGAGCTAGAGTGCGAGAGGGAGCTGGAGGATAGGACTATGCCAAACTTTGTGGCATAAACTTTTAATGAGTTCTTTTTATATTTGCGATTTGCATGGCCACGCCCCCCATTTGTCACACAAATGAAATCTGCTGGAGCGAAATTGCATTAAAGTTGCTAGTGCTGTTGTTGTTGTTGTTGTATTTGTTGTTGTTGTTGCTGGCACTTGTAAATTATTCACCCGCCCGTGGCCCACTTCAATGACATTGCCTACAACAGCACCAAAGTTTTGGTCAAAGCAGCCACGCCCCCCAACCCCTCAGCGCCCATTCGCCGGCTCAATGATGAGTGCAAAACAAAAATTGAGAAATAAAATAAATAAATATGCCTGGGCGCAAAAACTTTTAAATTGAAAATGCGCTTTGAATATTTCAGCGCTTTGCAATTCGCAATTCGCAATTCGTAGTTCGCATTTCGCAGCACTTCCGGTCCGCCATCTTGTGCGCCATTGCACTTGGCTAACTGCTAACTGTACTTGTCCTCATCTTTCGCAAAAGGCGAAAATAATTTGAAATTTTAATTAAAAGTATTTTTGGCAAAACTTGCCCCGCCGCTCCCAGACAGTGGGTCTCCGCTCTCCACTGCCAGACGCAAATACGACAAAATCAAAAACATAGCAGAGAACAGAAGAGTGAAGCGCGAAGAGCGCAGAAGAAGAGAAGACTAATAAGAAATTGAAGGGAAATTCCACACAAAGAGGGACAAAACTATTTCCGGGCTGCCTTCACTTCACGCTCGGCATCTCGGCTTCAATATGAATATTGCCGCCAAAGGCAAGAATTGCGCACTTGAGCAAAATCCGGACATGTTGCTAGCTGCAACAACAGTTGTTCGCAATGCACAGGGTCTGTATGTGTGTCTATGAGTGTGTGTGTGTGTGTGTGTGTGAGAGTGGCTTTTAGTGTAGTGTAGTTTTGCATGCAGCTATCTTGATATACTCATTATCTGATGATATTTATTTTTCATTAAAAAGTACATTTTATTCAATTTATGCTTTGATTTAATAATAGATATTATTTGAAGCTACGAAAAATATCGAAAAATCAGAGTATTTCAAATGACTATAAAATAAATTAGTTTATTCCATTTATTCTCAGCAATGGCTATTCTATTAATAATATTATAAATCAAAGAAAAACATCACCTAAATTCAAGCTAAATTTCGTTTACTTTAAGCCAAAATATCATTAAAAAATGTTTCAGAATACCCACAATGAAATCGACTGAAAAAGCTTTTGGTGACAAATATAACTTTAGTTAAAACAATTAAAATGAAGTAAATTTTCTCAACACAGAATTGAAACGCGTTTCTCTAGACTTTAGAAATAAATTTAAAAAAAAAAAATAATAATAAGTAAAACTAATTCATTTGCCATTGTAACCGAAAAGTAATTGTGTAGAAAATAAAAATA